AGCCCGGCAGCTCCGCGGGGTGAGGCGCGGGCGCACGCGGCCCGGGGCACGGCGCCAGGAGGGCGGGCGGGGAACCCAGACACGGGAACCGGGGGCTCCTGTCTTGCGGGGAGGACTCGGGGAAAGAGAGCGGCGCCCGCTCCCCGCGCCCAGGTTTACCGGCTCGGGCGGCGAACCTCCTCGCCCCCTCCCCACCCTCCTCGCCCCCCCCTCGGCCCGGCCCTGGCCGTGCGCACCGTGGCGCGGGTCCCGCCTGTCTGCGGCCCGGCGGGGGCGTCTCCCCAGCCTGCCCAAGGGCAAAGTCGACACGCAGCGCCCAGGGCTCCCACGGCCGCGGGGCGTGACCTCAGCAGTGAATGGCGATCGCCAGGACCCCCGAGAGGGGGTGCGGCCAGGGCCATTCTGCTGGAAACGCACACCGCTGCCTTTCCCGGGGAGGGGCCCACCCCGCAGCCCATGCCCCCACCCCAGAGCCCCTCGGCGCCCCAGACCCGCCTGGAGAGGAGGGAGGGGCGCGCAGGGAGGGGAGCCCGGCCCCGCGTGATGTGGTCCCTCCGCCCGCAGGTGTAGCGCCCCCGCGCGGCGCGGGCGGCCGGGCAGCTCCAGCATGACCGGCCAGAGCCTGTGGGACGTGTCGGAGGCCAACGTCGTCGAGGACGGCGAGATCCGCATCAATGTGGGCGGCTTCAAGAGGAGGCTGCGCTCGCACACGCTGCTGCGCTTCCCGGAGACGCGCCTGGGCCGCCTGCTGCTCTGCCACTCGCGCGAGGCCATGCTGGAGCTCTGCGACGACTACGACGACGCCCAGCGGGAGTTCTACTTCGACCGCAACCCCGAGCTCTTCCCCTACGTGCTACACTTCTACCACACCGGCAAGCTGCACGTCATGGCCGAGCTGTGCGTGTTCTCCTTCAGCCAGGAGATCGAGTACTGGGGCATCAACGAGTTCTTCATCGACTCCTGCTGCAGCTACAGCTACCACGGCCGCAAAGTGGAGCCCGAGCAGGAGAAATGGGATGAGCAGAGCGACCAGGAGAGCACCACGTCCTCCTTCGACGAGATCCTGGCCTTCTACAACGATGCCTCCAAGTTCGATGGGCAGCCCCTGGGCAACTTCCGCAGGCAGCTGTGGCTGGCCCTCGACAACCCGGGCTACTCGGTCCTGAGCAGGGTCTTCAGCGTCCTGTCCATCCTGGTGGTGTTGGGGTCCATCATCACCATGTGCCTCAATAGCCTGCCGGACTTCCAAATCCCTGACAGCCAGGGTAACCCTGGAGAGGACCCCCGGTTCGAAATTGTGGAACACTTTGGCATTGCCTGGTTCACATTCGAGCTGGTGGCCAGGTTTGCTGTGGCCCCAGACTTCTTCAAGTTCTTCAAGAATGCCCTAAACCTTATTGACCTCATGTCCATTGTCCCCTTTTATATCACTCTCGTGGTGAACCTGGTGGTGGAGAGTACGCCTACCTTGGCCAACTTGGGCAGGGTGGCCCAGGTCCTGAGGCTGATGCGGATCTTCCGCATCCTGAAGCTGGCCAGACACTCCACTGGCCTCCGCTCCCTGGGGGCCACCTTGAAGTACAGCTACAAAGAAGTAGGGCTGCTCTTGCTCTACCTCTCCGTGGGGATCTCCATCTTCTCTGTGGTGGCCTACACCATCGAAAAGGAGGAGAATGAGGGCCTGGCCACCATCCCCGCCTGCTGGTGGTGGGCCACTGTCAGTATGACCACTGTGGGCTATGGGGACGTGGTCCCAGGGACCACAGCAGGGAAGCTGACTGCCTCTGCTTGCATCTTGGCAGGTATTCTTGTGGTGGTACTGCCCATCACCTTGATTTTTAACAAGTTCTCCCACTTTTATCGGCGCCAAAAGCAACTTGAGAGTGCCATGAGAAGCTGTGACTTTGGAGATGGAATGAAGGAGGTCCCTTCAGTCAATTTAAGGGACTACTATGCGCATAAAGTTAAATCCCTCATGGCGAGCCTGACGAACATGAGCAGGAGCTCACCAAGTGAACTAAGTTTAAATGATTCCCTACATTAGCCGGGACGCGTTGTCACCCTGAAACCCACCTTGCTGAGCTGCTTTTTGTGCCTCGGGCAGCTTTGGGTTATGGTGTAAGGAGTCTTCCCAAGCCCTGAGGGGAGATGCATGGGATAGCACGCCAGGTCGCTGCTATGGTACTTAGAGTCACTTTTGGAGGGTGGTGTGTCTAACACCATGTCTTTGCACCTTTCAACAAAATGACACTCACTGGTCTTTGCATTGTGGGCATAAAATGTTCATCTTTCTGCCAGCTGAGTACCCAGAATGCCAGTTTCTCTGTCCACTGTGTACACTGTTCCAGTGCTTGTGCTCCGGTATTGTCTGTGAGTTGTTTGTGCTCCTGTTTCTGAGGTTGTCATGTGAGTTCTATACAAAAGAAGCTCCCCCCTACAAGTCTGTCCAGTAGAAATGCGTCTGTCTGTGAAGTCAGCAAGGATAGCATGAGATTTTGCTTACTGTCGTGTGAAAACAAAATCTCAATTCTTTATCCATTGCTTTCACTTAGTTTTAATACCAAAACAAAGAGAATGCAAAGTTAAGCACACATGACCAGTGCAAGTCTGTGTGTTGTTTTTTTAAATGTTCTCTAGCTCTGTGGCTTGCATGGGTACAGCAGTCATTTTTAGAAAGATGTGCTCTCATATTCATCTTGTACATGTCACTCTCTAGAGAGTGTTACTCAGTTAAACATGTAGTGAAGACTGAAGCTTTTCTTTCCAAATACAGATGTATTAGAGACAGGGACTTCAGCTAAACACTGACTCAGTCCCCAGCTGCTTAACCCTGAGTCCGGGCAGGCTGGGCCTTCCACCTGTGGTCAGGCCTCTGTCTTTCCCCGGGTGATCAGACAGACATTGGTTCCTGGTCTAGGCCACTTGACCAAAGTTGTGTCAAAGCTATGTCTTCTATATTAGCATGTTTTTTGAAATATTTATTTCTTAAGGCGTTTAGGAATAAGGTTATGTTGTCTTCTTCAGCCTAGAAGAGGTTTACTGTTGTCTTGCTGATGTGAGCATTGTTAGGTTGCTAGCAAGGGCAGCAGCCTAAATATCTTTGTGGCCTGCTCTGAAAGCTCGTAAAATGAGAGCCCTTTTTATTTCCAAGCAGAATTTGCTGAGATAACTTTGCTTCTAGGATACAGCATGTTGTGTATGATGTTCGGACTGCCTCAGAGTTCCTGCCGTGACATGGAAACCCGGTGATGAAGAAGTGTAGACTCCCAGTATAGATGTGCAGAAGGCAGCGTGGCCTCCCCAGGATGGATACAGTATGCTTTTTACTTCTGTTCCAATTGTCACTTGTCAGAGGAGGGTGGGTAGAGGCTAGGAGAAAGAGAAGAGTTAGAAAATGAACAACTGCTATTTCATACGTGTCCTGAACAATTATAAACTTTGAGAAAAAGCTTAAGGCTATTTCAAAGGCCTTTAAACTTCTAGGCTTGTGTGTTGATGGGAGACCACTCTTTCCTTTTCCAAAATGCGCCAGCTCCTCCTCTTGAGTTAGCCCGCACAATACATTGTGAAGGGGATCCTGGGCCCCTTTGTAAAATAATTTTTTCCATCATCTTCTCAGTAATCTGATGGTTTTCCAGGTGGCTTTTACTATGGTGTAGTCTTTGCCAGGGCTGTAGAATCCACATCTAAGCATGGAGTTAGGCAGGCTTTGTACCCAAAGCTTGGGCCTCCTCGTAAGAGGCCCATTTTGCATTTTAGTTGGTTGAGGGCAATCCATACCTTGCAGGGGTGTGGAGAGGATCTCACAGAGGGCTTTTGTGTACTTGTAGTTACTACTACAGTGTGGGCAATTTGTTGGATGAATGTGCTGGCCACTCCCGCCCCTGAGCCTCCAGCTGAAATCCTTCCACAGCCTGGAGTCTTATGAGGGGTGGAGAGGTGGCCACCTCTTAGTGCCTACCTCTGTTTCTCAGAGAAATCAGGACAGGTGAGCTGATGTAAAGGCAACTGGCCGATGAGTCAGGAGAGCAGGGTTATTTTTCAGAATTTGCACTTGGAACTCGGCTTGGGCTGAGGTTTTTCAGCCCAGGAAGGGAGGAAATGTATAAAATCATCCCCAGCTGCACTGAGGGCAAGTGACAGACTTGTGAGGACTGGTTAGTTTGCCAAGGCTGGTGGTCTCGGGTCACTGAGTGTGGTACCCATGGTCGCTGACCATGAGATTATGCAAAGTAAAAAAGAAGCGGAATAACTCAGTCTCTCTTGTGAATCTTTTTCTGAACAAGCAGGTTTACCACCAACAAAGTGGCACTCCGAGTGGTTGCCTTTGCAGATGTGAAAGCTGGAAAACTTGACTTTTCTTTTTGGTAATGACTTTGCATTTTTCTGGTGCCTTTCATTGGGGGAAATCCCACAGTGCTTTAGAGACTGTGTTTTTAACATCTCTTGTACATATATGTATACTTGTAAAAAATAATATTTCTTTGTCCACTGGGACCTCCTGTCACTTCTGAGCGTGAGACTGTTGCGGTGGCATCCAGTCCTGCAAGGGGTGGTTTCAGAGAATGGGGAGACGGAACAGCAGGCTGGTTTGAACACTGCATGAATTCCCACAAAAGATGGAGACCCAGGTGTGGCCCTGGGAACCTCTTCCACCTCCAAAGTCACCAAGGCAGGAAGCTCACGAGCACTGTCTCGGAGACATGGTCTTTGACTAACCTTGCTGGGCAAGAGCTCGTGTAGCAGTACAGCCTTCTCTGGTCCCTGGAGCGAGGCAGGGAGGATCGGGTTAATTTCCTGGCTTGTTCTTGGAGTAAAAGCTGTATGCACAAGGACACCTTTGGCTCGCAGGCTGTCAGACTGACCCATAAACCTCCTTTAGGAGGACACAGTGGACACAAGATCATTTCTAGCCGTAGACTTGAGAGCAGCTTCACTCCCAACATATGCAAGCGGCTCTTTTCAATGCCAGGTTTTATCACAGCTTACGGGATGAGCATCTAAGGGGTTGGGCTGGGAAGTGACATTAGTTCACTACACAGATGCACCTTGTCTCAGATTTGTGGTTTTTACCAAAACCCTAATTTCCTGGGTTTGCTGCTAAGCAGGGGCATGTTGTAATGCCGAGCTGATTTATAGCTCATCAGGTAGTAATTGGCATTTAATATTTGGATTTGTTGTTTCTACTTATCTTAGCACTCAAGTCATTGAACTACCTGCTAATTCTCGCCTCATTTCAAAGAAAATGATTTGTTATGCACTTTGGGATAGCAGTGATCTGTATGGGCTGCGTGATATGTACTTGAAGGCTGAACTGCTATTTCTTGTATGTTGTAACAGCATGACTTGTTGCAGAGTTGTAATTTTAAACATTGAGAACGCTGTATTTGCGATGTCAGTTTTAACACTCGTTAACACACTACTGCGCGAGCATCGCCCTGGGCTCTGCGGAGCCATTCTGTCTGATTGCTGTGCTGCCTCTCCATGTCTTCACTTGGGAGTGAGGTGCGTGGCTGACCTGCAGTGGCCTCAGCCTTGCAGATGTGAAGATTAAACAGAAAACAACCATCTACGCTTCCCTGAGGCCCTTCAATTCCATAGGGTGTGGCCAGTCCAGGACATTTAAAGTTGGGAACCAGACTTCCTGAGAGAGGCTGGACTTTTTCAGCAACGGTTGGGAAAAGTTGATTATTCCTTGCAGGCAAATAGGGGTGGAGCCCCTTTGGGGCCAGGATCTGGAGCCACTGGAGTGCTTGCTAGGGGGAAATGATTGCGTAGTTTTGGATGCCTTGTGATCCACGGGCCTTGCTAGGTTTTCCTCCTGCTCAGCACCTCTGATCGTCTGCTGGGCCACCTCCTCCTGTCCTGGGAGGCAGGCCAGGTGCTGGCCACCCTGAGTGTCCTGGGTGGTTGGGTGTATTACTGGGGACTCCTGCGGGCCCTTAGCTCCACGTGCCCTGGCCTTAGAGTCTGAGCCCTACCGAAGGTCACGGGGAATTAGCGGGAAGGGCGCTGGGCTGAGGCTTCTGCTCAGTTAGTTCTGTCCTCAACTCTTCTGTGCTGAGCAAGGAGGAGGTTGGCCATCCCAGGCCTGCCCAGTTGCTCACTCTAGTGTAAAACAGCTTTTCTACCCATCTCTGTCCGTCCTCCTTACAGCGGCAAGCAGCTCCCGACGTTCCTGACTGATCACAAGCAAAGCCCAGGGATTGCTTGCAAGCAGCCTTCTTCTCGGCTTCATTTCTGTCTTCAGCAAGCAGCCACAATAGATGACGGTTCGAGACAACAGTACCAAGGAAGTGCTTGGGCTAGTGTCTGTTCCAAGTGAAGAAGTTTAAAATCATTAGCAATTGTGGCCTCCGGGCTTTATTTTGTTGTTGGTGGTGTTTTTATTTTTGGTTTTTGTGTTTTGCAGTTCTTGGGATTAAATTCAGGCTCTCCGCACTGAATTACATCCCCAGCCCTTATTTTTTATTCTATTTTATTTTTGTTCTTGGTTTTAGACAGGGTCTTGCTATGTAGCTCAGGCCGGCCTTGAACTTACTGTACAGCCTAGGCTGGCCTCGAACTCTCAGTGATTATCCTGCCTCAGCCTCCCAAGTGCTAGAATTCAGGTATACATCACTGTGCCCACTTGGGCTTTAAATTATTGATACTTATTTATTCCTAATCCAAATTCCCACGATTATAATTATTAAACCGAGAAAAATCACACTGCTCTCATTTGGCATTAGGGCTAACTGCTTTGTTGTCATTGTTGTTCCTTGTGTGAAGCCTGGCAGATTTTTACCATATTCCCGTGAAGTTATTGGGGCACACTCAGGGCTCCCAGGTGCACAGTATTCAGTGGTGGTAAACCCATGGCGTGCGTGCCCAGGTGGGCTGTTTGTGTCACTGAAAGCTCTAAAAGGTTTGCCATCACTGGTATAGATGACTCCCCATCCCACATGCAACTTACACCGTGGGGAAGTAGAGCTATAGGTATCCGCTTCTGTGTAAGCTGAGGCAGGACACTGCAGGGCCCATATACAGTGCCCAGAAAGCCCTGGAAGTTTACTGTAATCCATGCATTCCTATCAAGAGTGGCTGACCGGTCTTCCCCCTCTGGCAGGGGTATAAACAGATGTCTAAGACATTCAGGGCCAGGCTGCTGTGCACCTTCAGAGGCAAAACAAACACTTCTCAAGGGAAGAACTTAAATACTGCACTCAAAAGGTTGTTAGTCCTTCTTTTCAGGAAACTTTGAAGTATCATTTCCACCCTATTCCACTGATATTGCAGGTCCGAAAAGCTGCTATGTCGTCCTTCCTCTGTGACCTCATTTATCACTATGGCCAGACTCCTGGGAGAGCCTCCTGAGCAGATGTCAGGATCAGCAGCCACGTGGCATGCTGAGATGCTCAGAAGAGCACAGATGTGAGCTGGGCCGCAGGGGCCTGCCTAAGGGAGTGCGGTGTCAGAGCGCGAGAGGACAGCGCACTGGGAGCCCTGCAAGCTCTCCCCTGAAGGAAAAGGGATAGGAAGAAGCCAGGAAGGAGGTGGGGGAGAGAATATAGAAGGAGGGGTGGAGGAAGAAAAAGGCAGAGAGGAAAGAGACTTGGAGGAAGAAAAAAGCAGGGAAAGAGACTTGGAGGTGATGTTTGATGAAGTTGGATTTGCTGTGTTTCCAGGATGGTCCCAGCTCCGGCCCCCATCAGTGGTCTTTGGGGGGTGACTAAGGTGGGAGTCAGCCCCTCTTCTGCTCCCCAAGCCTGGCTCCCCTTCCCCTTCCTGGGCCTCTGCAGTCTGGTGGAATAGAGAGCTACGGGACCCGCTAGACACATTTTGGATGAAGAGGGCTCTGAAGACACAAGAGAAAGGGAATAAACATCTCTCTGAAGATTCGACTTCTGGGTTGTGAGCAGGAAGAGGGGCTGGTGCTACCCAGGAAAGGGAGTCAAGGATAGAGCCACAGAGGAGAGGGAAGGGGAGGAGAGGGGAGGGAAGGGAGGGGAGGGAATGCTCTCCCTCCACAAGCAGGGACCTGCACAGCAAAGTCCACCAAGAGCAAAAGGAGCACAGCGTGTGTGCGAACCACCCAAGTCCGTGGGGCTGAAAAGGAGGCAGGCCAGAGCATGACTCTGTAAAGAGCTTGAGCTCCACTCCTTTGTCACTGGGGTGGGACATCCTGGCCAGGCTACTGCTGTCAAATGTGACTGGCAGCAGGTGGGAAGCGCGGGACGGGCCCAGGACTATTTGAGGTCACAGTGACAGAGTGGGTGAAGAGCCAGGGGCTGCAGTCAGCAAGGAAATCGGGTCTCCAGGCCTCCACTGAGCTAGGGAGTGTGCGAAGCACAGCTGGGTGGGTGGCTGGTGGGTGGGGCTGCCCCCAGAGAGACGGGGAGCACTCGGATCTCTCCCCAAGGGACAGCCATGTTGCCCGGTGCCTGTGGGCACAGATGGAGGTGTATGTGGCAGAGGCGGCCAGGATGGGAGTGAGCAGCTTGGAGATGGGAGCTGAGACCACGGGTGTGGAGAGGTGCGGAGACACACAAGAAAGCCCAGGTGGCCCCACAGAAGACTGGCGTCTGAGGGGCAGCTGGGCACGAGAGCGAGGGAGCCCCAGGACTGCGGCTCTCCGCCGCCCTGTTGTCTGCCGATTTCTCTCCTTTCCCCAGAGGGGTGCTGGGGTGGGTGAGCTCCAGCTTTCCTCTCTGTCCGTTTCCTTACTTACCTCACGATCTGGCTTCTGTCCCTGCTACTCGCTGAAACCACTCTCTCAGCGGTCACTGCTCTCCCAAGAGCGGAACGCGGTGGTCTCCGCTCAGTTCTCAAGTTCCCCAGTGCTTTGACCCCGTGGATCGGTCTCTAAATTCTTTGCACTGCCTCCTCCCTCCTGGCTTTTGGACACCACGCTGTTGGCTTTGCTGGTTTGTGGTTCTCCTCCTGACCGTCCTGGTCACGCGCTTCCTGGGTTTGTCCTCAGCACACTGTACGAGAGTGGACAGACGACCCCCGTCTCCTGCCTGACCCCACCTCACCCCACGCATTTGGAAGTGCCGTGTCTAAGATGGGCCTTGCCTCCTTCACTCCCACCTTCCTCCTGCTTCTTCCTCACTCCTGTTCATGGGGCCACAGCGCTCCCTGTCTCTCGGGGTGAGGTTTCAGCCACCTTTGACTCCTCCCCATTTGTCTGTCTGTTCGCTCTGCTTAGCTCTCACCCCCGAGCAGGTGGGTAATTGCCAAGCCCTGTGCTAGACTTTGGGGAAACAAACGGAAAGGACACTGCTCACGGTCTTAGGCAGTAGAAGCTTTAGAGCCACTTTGCGTCAAAGTCGCCTGGGGAGTTTTCCACAAAGTCAGTCTCTGGGCAACACCCATCTTCGAAACTGGGCTCTTGGGATGGCAGCAGGAATCCGCAGTCTGAATACTCTCAGGTGATGCTGTTTCGTGTTGCTGGGGTGGGACTCAGGGCCTCGCTGCACCCTCAGCCTCACAGGTGACTGTAACCAGGTGGTTTTCAGACCATCACGGAGAAATTGCGCAGGTTTTACCAATGCTTTCTTCACTGCAGTGTCACATGATGATCTCTTCATATCCATTCTACAGGCTCTCACTCCACGTCAGTCCTCGTTAACCTGCGCTTTGCTGATTCCCAGCAGACTCATTCTATCTGATCCTTCCTTTTCTGCAACTTTCCCGCCCCACCCGGATTCATCTTCCTCCATCCAACACCTTAGACCTTCTCGTGCCTTTGGCCACTGTGGGTGCTTGTCTTAGATACAACTGAGGGTCACAGCTGAGGAAGTGGAGAATCCACATGGCTGATGAAAGCTCAAAGACAGGGAAAAGGGCCCATTCAGAGAGGAGTTGCCTTCAACGGGGGAACAGGGGCAGATCACAGGGGTGAAGGGACCTGTAGCATGGGGCACATAAAGGTGACAGCACAAAGCCTGGTGATCTGATGTTGAGTGAGCAGGAAAATCCCCTCTCCACATACGGCCAGCTCTGAATCCCAGACTAAATGTTCCCCACAGGGATATGTGGATGTTCACCCAGCCCCTGGGTGTCCAGGAATGTGGCCTGGGCAGGCAGGCTGGGGACTGTGGTACGAACAGAACTGGGATTCTGGGGAACTTTTTTTTTTTGCACTCAAAACTCTTTTTCATCGCCTACATTTCCAGACATTTAAAGAATTCTAAGCTATTTTCAGACCTACTATGAAAAGAACCGAGGTGTTAGCAGTCAGACACCCGTCTAACTGTTTCCTAAGAGGAGCGCTGGCACGGCTCACTTCTGATCTGTCAGCCTTCTATCGACTTTTCTGGCAAACTTTGTGAGTCTGCCAGGGCCAGCGCTGCTGGGAGCAGCTGAACTGTAACCCGCCGTGTTTGGGGTTGGTTATTACGAAGGCCACCCTCACGGGGCTATAGCCTGCACTTCCTTTTGAGGAACCTGTGGGAGGGGAGGAGGGACACCACAATGCGCAGAACCCGGGGTGTCCCTGGCCCTTCCCACTGGCTCCCGAAGAGAAGCCAGACAGCGTGTTTTATGCTTCGTCTGAATTTGAGATCTGAGAGCTGCTTTTGGAATGGGGAGCTGCTGGGAACCAACAAGGCCCCCAAAGTAAACCAGTCCCACTCTGGCCTTCCCTCTGCCTGGGGAAG